CGAACAGCTAGCAATAGAATAATTTAACGATCCACGTTTCGTGGTCCACCCTGTATACGCACTTCCGCGACCGAATTCAAGATCAGTCGAGTCCTTTGAGTAAGCAGTCGCGTACGTTACCGTTCGCAACGAAGTAAGATAATCACGATAATCCGTCGCGCACAATGCGCGACCAGCTAATCATCGTTCACCCATGTCTCCGATCGCGTAATCCGTAGACACGATACGTACCGCTGATTGCAGCCGCGCGAAGAGAAACGGAGTCATTATCGAAGCTCCTTCGCGAGCTAGCATTTCCCACCGATGAATCGTAAACGTAATAATGAGTCGTCTAGAGACCTTTGACGCTTATAATCGTCGAATTACCGTCGATTTCTCGCTGAATACCGTCCATGTCCACAAGGGCCGAGGAGGCCGACGACGACGACAGTCGCACGGTTTATTGTCCACCGTCTCGTGGATTCCCGTCATAAACGCTTTCAACGGGGGTTTACACGGCGACGGTCACGCCGACCTAACGAATTATTTCGACGTCCAGGAATTTTCGGAAGCAGATAAAGGGACACTTGCCTTGGGGAGCTCGGTGCGCCGCTCGTACTTAAGGGTCGAGACAGGTAGGAAAAAAGGAGCATACCGTTATACCCTGTCCGAGGCGCAAGAGCCTCGGTTTGTACCTTAGGCCGCCAGTTCCCCTTACCTCTCGACCGAGGAGAATTTCAAGAAACTGAACGAAATTCCGAGACACCGTCGGTACAATCCTTTTACATCTCGTGACATCCCGGGAAGCTCCAGATCCCACGAATAAAGTTTTATACGCACCTTCTCTCTAATATACTATTTTCGTTAGAACGTAAGTAAGTTAATTCATGAATATTCCGTTCTACTTCCTTCTTTAGCGCATTCTACACGTTGCAATGGGAACGTGCCGGTCGCGACACGCCTCGAAAAACTCTCAGGTATTATCCCGGACAGGTCGAAAGAGCAAGGGGAGGGGGGGTGAGAGGGGAGTAACGCCTAAGGAAAATCCGTTCTCCGTCATCGAATTCGAATTCATAAGCGATGGCGTCGCGTAGCCCAAGGGTTCCGGCCGCATATATTATTTTAATTAAAGGCTCCGCGTGTACGCTATTGTTTAATCTGTTGTGGTGACGCCACTGGATAACTCGCGGTGCGGTCGTGAGAGCCGGCGCGTGCGTTTCGTGGCGGGACAGAGAGGCAGAACGGGGATGGAAAAAGAAAAGGCGATTAACGGAAAGGGAGAGGTGGAACGATCCTAACGAAGGAGGGAACAAGAAAGACAGAGAGAGAAAGAGAGAGAGGTAACGACTCCCAGGCACGGATTTAGGCGTGGGACGGTGGAGTGGTGTGTAAGGATGAGGGCCCTTTCGCTCTCGATGCACGGCAAAGTACTGTAGTTCCCCGTTTGGCACCGCGACTGTCGAGCACACCAGTAATTTCTACGCACGATTATAATGAAACCCTTCTGCATTGCGGAGATCATTTCTTTTAAACGCCCGAGTTTAACCTTTCGAACGGTAACGCACGCTACTCGTGTGCTGATTCAGCCCTTTGGATGATTCTACTGCGCATTTAAATAAGTGAAATTAATAAAGTAGAGTTAATTTACATTATTTAATAATTTGTTTTGGGTCTTCAGATTCATGGCTTGAGAATATGTAAATCTATTTTTATATGGAATACATTTAAATATATTATTATGGATTATAAAGTTTGTTTAAAGAAATAATTGGATATAGTAAAATGTAGTGGAAAGTAACCAGAATTCTACTGTCTCTTCTATTAATACCGTATATGTTTTGATCTGATGAATAGAGACAGAGTAAGCAACAAGTTTGTGAAAGGGAATTAATTCGCTAAAACGATCGGTTTACACGCGTTATACTCGATTTATTAAGACCGTGTAAATTTGAAGCTCCGGTAATACGTTCAATGTGTCCCGAAATACTTAAACTTTCCCCTACGCCGTGAACTGAAGCTAACACCCTCCTCGGCGTTTATTCCCGAGCCGGTTGGGGTAAGCTTCGTGATGCATAATGGAGCTGCCCGATTGATATCCAGGCAACCGTCCGAAACTTCTACAATCTCAAATACAATGTTGGTTTAAACTGTGGGTATAGCGGTTGAATACACGGTGAGCATGAGGAACAAAAAGAGGACCATTAAAATCGATCTTTGTCACAGGAATAGTATATAACTAGAATTCACTTTTCGCAGAAGGAAGTAGTATTTCTTTTAGATATTAGTTGAATATTTTATAAATTCTATAGAAATAATTGAAGAATATTAAATCAATGCTTTATTTAGTTTCACGTGGGAATCGATACGCGACAAAACAACGTTGCGATCGATCTTTCTGGCGCTGGAAAGACGCTCGAGATGACCGTGATTGCCTCAGAAGAACCATACACACAGACGTATCATTCTAAACATCCGTGACACGTAACGAGGACTCGAAGAGCAATCTCGTATTCATCGACACAGAGACAAATACAGAAATAACGCGTGAACCCATCTTTCCGTGTACGTATAAGACATTCGTGTGTTCTGTATATCGAACGCACACATTTACAAGCAGCTCAACGTGAAATCCCGTTTCGACATTCCCGATCTACGTCCGATCCGTTGAAGAACACTTTATAGCAAATTAACGGAACGCGCGTGCGTACTAACCTAATAAAATTATGAATTCCCTCGAAATATTGTATCTTCAAAATAAATTTACGAGTCAATTAAAACTAATCTTTCCAACGTAACAAATTAACACGAGAACCAATGGAATCGAATAGTACATAAAGAAACGGCAAAAATAATCGGTGAAATAAGTACTGGTGTGTGTAAAGCGTATGTTTTTTGCAGGCGGTAGGCACGAAAAACGATTTTCTAAGGCTGTCCGCAAATCGTCTTAAGTAATTTCAATTTGCTCGACTAATCGATCCTGTTTGTAACAAGATCGCGTTAAACATCCCATTCGAGGCGATCGACTATACGCCGTGGAGCAGTATATACATACACACGATATACCACTATCGACAGAGAGGCACGCATACCCCGTTGGTACATAAGTTCCGGGCGGCGCACGTAGAAATGCCACATGCACCTCGGTTTCGAAGGGGTCTTGTGCTGCCTGCGTGCGTCCCGGTAGCGACAACAACAGCGCGGGAGCAGCCGAGAACGGAAGACGGAGGACGCCAGTGTAGAAAGAGAGGAGTCGCCGGCGGAAAGGAAGAACGAGGAAAAAGAGGGAGGTGAAAGAGAGGTCGAGGAGCGCGAGGGAGACGACGAAGCGGACAGACGTGCTCGTTTCTCGGATCGAGCAGTATGCACGAGGACGAGAGAGAGAAAAGGACGGCGGTGGTGTTATAGGGGGACCTTTTCCCTCTATCGCGTGGCTCCACCCACACGCCGCCACCGCCGCCGCCGCCGTCGAGGCGCACAATCTGGCAACAGTGGCTCGCTATAACCGATATTGTGGCCGTGGATTGAATGGTGGGGAACTAGCTCAGGTCAAACCTCCCCACCGGCACGACAACCCCTCTGTTCTGAGGAGCGACCCCTCGCCACTGTTCACTCTCCGCCGTTTCTCACCCCACCCAACCCCTGCGCGTCCTTCTCGATCTCTATCCATCTGCCTCCTTCCTTCCTTTTTCTTCCCCCACCCAAGTGAACCGCATCTTCCCCCCTTTCCCCTCGACCACCGTCGTCACGACGCTTGTCGCTCGTAGTCGCCCGTATCCCCACCATCTCTCACCAACCCGACAATCCGCGTCTGTGGAGTGGCACACGCGTGTGCCGCAGTGGTCGTGCGTCTGTGCGTTGGGTGCGAGTGTCGCGCTTTTACTAGATGGCGTTCGTGTGCGCCTGCGCTTGTATACGTGCGCGTGTGTAACTACTCCCACCACGCGGATCGTCCAACCTCTACACACACTACCTAGTCAACGGTCATCTGTGTGTATTCGTTGCTTCGATACCAACACACTATCAATCCCGCGTCACTACACCATCGCGATATCAGCGTGCGCTGCTGCTTCTGCTCCACACAACGACGCAGTTCACCAACACACCGACAACGGGTCCCCGTGTGTGACACACGATCGTGACGACGAATCGACGGCAGGGACACACGCCGTCGGTACACGAAGCGTATATACACACAACGGACGATAGAGAGCGCCGCGGAAGGATCGAGAGAGAGGGACTAACCGTAGCGGTGGGACAAAGACGGAGCAAGAGGGAGCAAGCAAGACCGATGTTGGCCCCAACAGCCTCTCACTAGACAGTATTACTTTCAACCGTTTAGCGGGGCCAATGCTACCCGGCGCGGAGTAGTCAGTCAGCCGAGCAGTCAGAGTCAGCCGTCCGCGAATACCGAGAGGACGCTCTCTCTCCGTTCACGAGAGTCGTCGTCGACGACCATCCACGCGACGATCCCTACAAATGTTTTCGTGGTTGTCCTCGAAATTTCTGCTGCCGCTGCTCTTGTCGCCGTCATTATCATCGTTATCAATGCCGTCATCGATCCTACCGACAGTTCATCGTGTATCGATAATACGTCTGTGACAGACTGAGACGCGCGAGTAGCACGACCGGTGGATATAAATAAAGTTTTTGTACAAAGTGTGTGAGAGAGAACGAGCGAGAGAGAAAGAAAGATAGAGAGAGAAAAGCATCGTCGAAAGAGAGAATAAAAAGAGTACATTGGGTTTTTGTGTATCGCGATTTTTGACATTCGTTTCGCCAGTTACGATCCGTGATTATGTACATTGAGAACAGCTCGGGAAACGTTACTCCTCGATAAAGTTGTTGCCGTTGCTGCCGCAAGGACACACAACACCGGTGTCGGGCCGCCGAGCAGAGGAGCTTTACCCTCTCTCACGGCGCATCCGAGTCGCACGCGCGTGCAACACTCTCTGGAGGGTTCCGCACGTTCGGTCGAGCCGTGGAGCGTTCTCGCTCGTTTTGTCGTTGTTATGACGAGGTGATGAATAGACGAAGGCGTTGCAGTGTTAAGCAGCGTGGTGACCGTGCTCGTCGTCGTGGCGGACGATGACGATTAACGTAGACAGATTCCGTGGACGCGGGGAAGTGTACTCGTTAGTGTGATCCTAGTGTTTTTCTTTTATCTATTCTATTCCATTTACACGAGGAGGATTGGATTATACCGTGGACGACGTGTATCTACCGAGGATAATGCGTCCTTGTGACATTCTTTAGGTAAGTGGAAGTGTGCTGCCCAATATCGCATTCCCGCAAGTGGTTGTCGTTTCTCGGGATAATTCGATACGGTGTCGTTCGTTTTAAAAACAATGAATGAATTTTCGAAAACATTCCGATCTCGTTCTGTGAAAATCAACACTGGCTCATATATCGAATCGTGCTTTGATACGTGATTAGAAAAAAAAGTGAAATGCAAACGGTGCTTAGAAATTTATTACTTTTAAGCAGGCATAGGCAAATATTATTTGAAATCAATATAAGCAATAATAGTAACAAACAGTGAATTACATATCTCATTATTTTTATTTAACGTTTCATTTGAAAGTGTTCGAATACTTCCGCGACCGACTGTATATCAGTTGAGCTGTTTCGTGAATATTTTATTGTTTTAAATACAAAGTGGTTTTTTTTAAATATTTCTTGCAATAAAACAAGGCTTCAATGTTGTTTAAAAAAACACTATAGTCTGCTCCGAATATTATCATTTGAATTGACAACGGCTAACAGGACATCGCGCGAAACATTCAAAATATGTAGACCGCGTTCAACGTGAAGGATCGCGAACAGAATGGTTCTCGATCTCTCGACTCGCCACTTGCTCCTTATTACGTTGCAGTAGTAGATATTCCAACCGGTAAGGCGCTTTCACAACGGGTGATTGTTCTAAAGATGTGTCACTCCGTCTTGCTCGTTTCTCGTGTCGATCCCGGTTAACTGTGAGAGAAAGAGCAAGAGGAACGGGAGAGAGGGAACGACTCGCGTAGACGTAGACACGAAAAAACAGGCAGAAAGTCACGTCCACTGTAATCTTCGATCGTCCGTAAGTCCTCGGGACGTGTGATGCTCGACGTATTAACACCTTTACGTGTAACAACTATAGATACGCCAGCGAATACCTATAAACCGGCAGTAAATACACTTTTATTCATTGCACTATCGCGAATACGATTATACATATGTGTCGTGCACGACCGCGGCCCGTTATGCATACACCACCTCCGACAGGAAATACGAGATGCTCCGGAAACGCGTTATACTCCTACGCGGAGACGTATTATTGAACCGTGCTTTCTGGAAGCACCCGTACACTTTTATCGATAAGTGACGAGTTATTGGGAAGCCTGGTAGCTGGTAATCCAGCGTACAGCCTTAATAATTCATTCTCAAGAAAAGCTCGAGAAACTGTTTTCCCCCTTATATTCTTGTTGGTATAGTCCTATATATATTGATATAGTGTGGCCGTTAAGTCGATGAGAATTCGAACTGTATATACTCGTGTCAATCGGATGTCGGAGACAAAAGAATTGACAGAAATACATGTGGTGTGAAGAGTCACATAACCTCATTCATGATTTTCGTGCGATACATAATCTGTTTTAATTCAACCTTGAGAACTGTTTAAACGAAAAAAAAGACTTCAGCAAAACAATTTACTGTTAGTTACTAATATTATTTTGTTGAAGCGCCAAGGCGTAGTAAAAGTGTACAGCTCTGCGTCCTGCGGCATCAGTAGGGGATCCTCTTGTCAAGGGTCTACTTTACGGCCATAGTATATCTTCACGGTCGGCGGCTACACGGTCGTATATCGACTCGCGTAGTGTACACGAGTTGCAGAGTACGCGCGCGAACGTGAAGAATACGAAAATTTTATCGGTTTATCGCGTGACTCGCGAGGAAACGATTCAAAGTCGGGTAAACGGGTAACTCTCTTTCGCTCGCGGTATCTCGCCTGGCGTGACGATAATCGGTATGACATTGTCACTGACGTCGTTATCGGCCGGCTGCGCGCAAAAAAAGAAAAAAACGAAAAGAAAGACAAGAAGGTGGGCGAACTGGCGTGAGTAGGGGTAGGGTTGAGAGGGGTCGTTCGACGTGAATTTGAATCGAAACGGATCGCGCTACCGTCACGTCCCGCGGCGCGTTGTATACGCGCTGAGATAATCTTGGCAATGTTAAACGCGCAATAAGCACCGTGCTCTGCCCGGGGTATCTAATCGTTTATCGCGAACGATCGTACCCAAGTCACTGTACTATCGACGATAGTTTGCCGAAACGAGTCCCAGTTCCGTGGCACAGCAGACAATATAATCGACGCAGGCAGTTCTCTTCGCCCGATAACCGGTCACTCGAGGGAATCGAAAAACTATGTCAGGATCCCTTGACATTTATGTGTCGTTGCTTCGAAACTGCAGCCTTGCGGTGCCCCGCTCTATTGCCAGCTATAAAGAATAATAATATTCGTGCCATATTTCCGTTGTCGTTTAAAAATACATTCGATTTTTTTTTATTTATTCATGCATCAGACCCACAATGATCACGTCGATATAATTTTCGTGAAGTTTTTCTACTTCAAGATCTACTTTTAAAAAAAAAAAACTTATTCTAGTTTGTTGTAACAGTATTCACCTGGAACACTATAAAGGCATTTAAGATCTTTCGCAACGATTCGATATTTTGTCAGATTATCAGAATTCAATTTCGAATATTTCTTCTTTCCTCGATGACCCACATCGTTGACGAATCGAGGTCGTCGCGTCGTGACGTGACGTTTCCTGTAACGATATTAATTGTGAGACTTGGGTCGTCGTCGATTATAGGCGGTACTGTTTTCTAGAAATTGTAAAGCGTGTGTATAATCGAACGTGTTGCATCGATAGCTCCCATTGCCTCCTCCCACTCCCTCTCCTCTCTCGCTCGCATATCTAACCCGTGTCCAGGCGCTACTTCTACGAACTTTGTCGAGCTTTCACCTAACGCCATAGAGACAGAACCACTGTTTCGAGCGGGGAGGGTGGCCGCGGAGGGGAAGGGGTATTTGTCGAATGTGCTCCGTACACGTACATAGAGGCCGCAGCGAGAACACATTCTGATCTCTGGCCATATGCAGGCGCGGTCTTTCTCTCTCTCTCTTTCTCTCTCTCGCGCGCGCGCGTTATTGCGTCTCCGCTCGCGGCGAGTAAATCGGTTTCGTTGAAAGCCTTCTAATCTCGATACAGGCCCCGTCTCGCGGTGGCACAATATCAGAAATAGGTTTGTTAAAATAAGCGTACACTCGATGGCGCATACCGCGCTTCCCAGGGACGTATTACCTTGGGGGGGAATCACCCGGTGTGTGTGAGGATCGTTAGGTGGGGATGCACCGGGGAGAGCCACACGCTGCTGCGCGCACACACTTTGCCCTTATCCACAAATAAATGAGGTCGACTTGCCGATTCGAATACCTCTCGTAACCACACCGTGTACGATTCTTCGGCCACCCGCGCTCGCGCGCATTCTTTTTTCTTTTGACGCGTACCGAATCAATTTCTTTTTATTTGGCACTACGTTTCCGACAGCGACCCAGGGTAACACAACAAATCGGTGCCGTAGTTCACGAGAATCATGGTACGGCCACGAAATATTCACGATTCCGCGTGTCCCCGCGGCAATCTTCCGCCGGTGTTTCGACAAGCAAGACACACACAGCTAGGTATTTACCAAATTGGCAAATATCAGCGAGTCAGGAATATATCGTCATCTTTGATTGCGCACTCCTGCTTGTGGAGCGAGGGTACGTGTTTGTCAAGGACGACGAACAGAGAGACGCCTCGGAACTGTCGAAGAATTATGTCAGACGTAGCGGCACGTTGCGAACTCACCTTGGCGTATTGGCACGTAGAAAAATTTTACTCTCTCCCGCGCGGGCGCACGACCACTTTTCGGGAATCTTGATAAACCTAAAGTGATATAGACGCTTATAATAACCACGTACACTTAGAACTTCATATCTTAATCACGATGTTACAACTCACCGTGAATTAACTGGTTAATAATTCGAACCGCCGTGCATCGAATATCGTATCTCCCTGTCCCGAATTCGAAGCGTCACGGAACGAGGCATCCGAGTCTCGCGAACGCTCGAGAACCGTTCGCCGAAATCACCACGCAAGCAAGAAAAACTTTCGTGGAGGTGCACGAGCGAGAGAATCCGACCGCGCTTCTCTCCTCTATCCTTCGAAGACGGCCGTACCGTACCGCTTGCGCAAACGATTGGTTTACACGCGACGGAATCCGCTCGGCTGGATTATGAAACGTTTGTTTTGCCGGCGTGAAGCAGCCGCTCGTGACGCTCGCTGTCCGACGACAATGGAGCAGCCTTCGGACATTATATTCCCGCACGCGCGCTCAAGGTGAGGCGTAATTAAATTTTCATAATTGCCTGTTGCATAATGAGGTCTCGGGACGACGTGCGTCTCTTCGCCTCTGTCGGGGTGTGTGCACGGATCCAAACGGCGAATTTGAATTGACCGCGTCGATATATCGACTACTAATGGTGCGACCACCTTCCCGGAATCGTTTATCGCTGTCGCGGACCGATTCGTTTCTACGTCAACCGTCAGGCGCTATAGGCCGTGTTTCAATCGAGCGAGAGATAATATTCCATTGATGTTTTTTTTCCGTTTAAATATATCGCTCCGAGGGGTTATTCGAGAAAATCGTTTTATTGTCCGTCGATGTGTTATGTTTTAAGGTTACGTTTCCGAACAATCGCTTCTTTCTGTCTTGGAATGTTTCGTGAAAGCATTTATTAGTACACTGATATTGTATCATTACGTCCGAAAAAAATATTTCCGTGTGCTGTGCGGTAAAACGTAGATCGAAGATAATACAAGCTGGAAAAGTGGCCTGAAACGTTATTTTAGGGAAATATTGATTAAGGTGATAAGAATTGTGAGTAATTGTGGAAAGCACGACACGGTACGTTTCGTTTTCTTAGGTATCAGCAGAGTTGCGTGCGGTAAGGCGATCTAATGCGCATGCGTGCACACCGCCGCTTAAAGCGCCAACTGCCTAATTTCGTTCCGTGTACTTATGTCAAACGCCAGGCAAGACGTCGATATCCCCTAACTCTGTGTATAGGCTACGGGAACTCACGCTTCGGGAACACTAGCGAGGAAAATCGGCTAGCTGTTTGACGGAGGCATTTCTTCGTGAATCAGAGAGTCGTGTGCTATTTA